AGGCCGCACTTTTAAAATGTAAATTTAAAATACTGTAAAAATCCACTTTATTTCTACATAGGCCGTATGTTTATAAAACAATATCCTAGGGCAACAGACGTTTCCTGATCAATCGTTCAAATTTATGAATTATTTTATGAAGGTTAAGATGAAAACAGATTGCCTTTCATAAGATTAAATAATAATAATAAAACTACATTAGGCCCTTTAGTTCATCCATTAATTGTTGACTGATTTTCAGTGGTAGTATTTGACCAAAGAGTTGGTACCAGGGCAGTATTACTGTGTTATATCAATCCTTTAGTCGACCAGGAAGTACTTTTGATGATAATCCCAGTCTCCATCCATCAAACCGACAACCGTTAACTAACTATAGATGCTAATTTACTGAGACATTAAAACATACGAGTTCAAGATTGGGAAGCTCTGTCATGGTTTGGGGCTGCACTTCAGTGCCCTACCTACCTTCATTAAAAAAAAAAAAAAAAGCAAATTTACTTGAGTTAATTTTGTCACATTTTCTGGGTTAAATAAAACAAAAAAAAAAACCAGATGCTTTAAGACTTATGCACACCACTGTACCACCAGACACATCAGGGTCAAAGGTTATATCCATGATGTAAATCACTGGGCACCAGGAATTCATGGGAAGACGAATGAGAGCTAGATAACAAGTGATGTGACATGTCCATGGCCTTGTTTGTTCTTCTGCGTCAACAGTCCGGTCTGTCCGTCCTCAGCATGCGCAGCTCGTCCTCCAGGTACGCGATCCTTTCCATGAGAGCGGCTCTGTCGGCCTCGGCTCTCTGAGAGGCCTGCCAGCGAGCCTCCTGCACTTTCCTCTCGTACCATCGTTCCATTTGGGTCGACACCGTCTCGAAGAAGTGCTGCGTCACCTCCAGGGCGTGCGTGTTGTCTCGCTCCTGAGCGAACAAGGGCTCGTTGGGCTGATCCCCGAAGACCTCCAGAGTCTGAGCCGCCCTGGCTCCTCTTGAACTCGACCTGCACTGGGAATGTTTTCTATGGTGCCTCCCTCTGTCTCTGCCTCTCTCCGCAGCAATCGTGCGACCGCGGTGGCGTTCCGCATCGGGAGACTGACTACCGGACGGGCGGTCTCCGTGCCCTACAGTGTCCACGTCCAACTTGTCCTTAACAGCCGAGCGCTCTTTGGGCCGGACCACCTGAACAGACGACAGCTGCTTCTTCTTCAGCCCAGGTGAGGTCACCTCCTTCTTTTGAGCCTTCTCGCCATCTGGTAACGTAACGGAAACCATTCAGTCAGCACATAAACATTTTAAAATTTGTCTGTTGTTGTTTATTCATGTTAACAATCATAAAATAAGTGCCTATAAATAACAATAAGTCCAAGTTTTTTCCCTTTGTTTTTATGCCAAGAAGTACAAGTATAATAGAAAATATTCATATTTAATGAAATATCATTTGAAAAAACATCATGACATCAAGTGTCAATTTCAAAATATCTCAAGTGGGCCGGATCGAACCCTGTAGCGTACCAATTTTGGCCCACGGCCCGTGTGTTTGACACCCCTGTTTTAGCATTTTGTATACAGAGAATTATACCGGACCTATTTATTGAGCCAGAAACCTCTGAAATCTTTACTAACGATTAATCAACTTATGTAGTAATTGATTATTAATGGGCAGAAGTGAAAAGAATTTCTTTCAAAAAATTAGTTAAAAACAACAAATAGAGGTAAAATACCAAAAGTTGAAAAAGTAATAAATAAATACAAAAAAAAATTAGAAGTGGGTTAAAAATGGGTTCTGAGTTCTCCAAGTGTGAAGAATGCTTAGATTTTTTTTGCTAAGACGACACTAAACCTCTCTCTCTAATACAGAGATGTTGACTGTGACGAGTTAAAATTTGAAAAATGCAGTGAGCAATCCAATTTAAGGGACTTAAAGTGTAAAGAAGAAGACAATGATGTGTCTCTGATTTGTTAGAAAATAAGATTTATTTTTTCTTAGAGTTTATATCCAATTGTGTTTTTTTCCTGCTCCCTAATCAGCTGTGACTATATAAAACTAAGCTCACAAACGGGGGGGGAACATCCATCTCAAACCGGCACTGTCTGTATAACACTTGTCAATTCACAGAAGCCCAGCAGGGGGCAGACACAGCTAGGGCCTAAATGTGTGTATGCAACCATAACTAACAAACCCCTAACTACACCTAACTAGAAAAGTGAACAGATGTTGAGTATCGAGGTAGAAAATCCGTACGCCTTTATTCTACGTTAGCATTGATGTCGTCATTCACGTACATTAATACGTAATGATCATTCGAGGCCGTACCTGGGGAGCTCTCCACGTGAACGTCAAAGTAGTGGGTTGCCGAGCAACCCTCAGCCACACTGGCGTCAACGCGCTCGGTGTCCAGATGCCCCGGACTCTGGTGGAGCTCCGGGGATTGAGAGAACTCGTCTCTAACGGGAAGCTCAGAGAGCTCAGCTCCTCCTGCTCTCTCGGCTTCATTCAAGGCCTCGGCCACAGAGGAAGGGCTCGGCAGGTGTTTGCTCGTTTCTCCTCCTGTGAGGCGAAACTCCATGTTTTGCAGTTTGGACAGACACCAGTTCTTCATTTCTGATATCAGAGACGCCTGCTTAAAAAAAAAACAAACAAAAAAAACAGAATAGATCATCTTAATTAATGTCCCATAATGTTACTGCAATAAAAAAAAAATAAACCCGTTAATTGGGATTTATTGTGTTAATGGTGAAAATTCAATGAAATCACCATCTACAGCATATGTGTCAAACTCAAGGCCCGCGGCCCAAATGTGGCCCATGAGATTAGTTTGTGTGGCCCGCGGGAGTTTTTTTTTGTAACTTCAATAAATACTAATCAGTTCAAGAAACGTGTAACTTCAATAAATACTAATCAATTGAAGAAACATATTAATATGTTAGGGAGTAGTTACAGCTATACAGTCTTACAGTTGAAACTGGCCCTTTAAGGGGAACTGTATTCCTGATGTGGCATGAAACTGGCCCTTTAAGGGGAACTGTATGCTGTATTCCTGATGTGGCACAGTAGCAAACTACTCAAATTTGGAACATTATGTTCTGCTGAGGACGTATACCTACAATCACAGTTGTCTAAAATGGCGGAGATCATTCGAGTTATTATGGATGTTACAGTTAAGGTTTTGTCAATGTGATATCAGTGTCATGAGAGCAAGAAATCAATGAGGCGTTAGGTCAATATGCCTTTAAGACTAGCCAGAACTCAAGGCAACTGGTGGCTCTCGAGTATGTTTTCTGTGGGTCTGGACTGTAGTATGCATAATTTATGGCCTTCCAGGATGGTCAAACAGTAGTAATAAATCATACAAGACCCAGTCTCACCTCCTGGGGTATGCAGCTGTCCATTTCACTGCTCCTTGTGATGCTTTTGAAAAGTGAGTGAAGAAAGAACCTCGGGCTAACGCTAACACGTTTTTTTTTTTAACATTTTCGTCTTTGTGCTCTCGGACTTAGAATGCATGGAATGTTCACGGTTGGCTGGCTTTCGGTTAATTATACTGTCATTTGAACAAAGGCAATCTCCCTGTACTTGTTTACTTCTTAATCTACTTAAGACAAATCGGTAATAAACACCACAAACAAAGAAATGAATAATAGTTTTCCTTTTATACGTGTAAACAATGCACGCAGGCACATTTTCACAGCCTGTGCATTTCATATTTATAGATAAAAATGTAATAACCGAGTTTACCTTTCTTTTCTTTTTTTTTTTTTTTTTTTACACCCTAAGCCCTTAGCCGAGCGCCTGACCTAAACCTACCTGTCTTTTCTCCGCCTCCAGCCGTTCTTGCTGGGCCCGTTGCTCCATCCTCTGCGTGCACTCACTCCTCTCGGCTGACACCCTCTCGACTGTCATCTTATCCAGTGCTCGGATCTGAAGGCCACAAAACAATAACAGGGATAATACATATTACAACTTTAGAACAGGGTAAACTTGGAGTGATGTTGGATTCATACGATCACATATTTTCAAACAAGGTATTTATGCAATTGTGGAAAATCGGATGCAAGAGTTACATTTATTTATTTATTTTTTTAATTAAAATTGATTAAAATTGCATGGGTTTTTAGCAATTCTCATTTAGTTTAAAGATGCTCAATATACTTTTTTAGAAATACAATTTTTTTTTTACCAATATGTTGGATGTTCCTAAGGCAGGCATGGCCAAACATTTCCAAATTATATAATTTTTTTTATATTATCGCTATACCTCTGCTTTTTCCCTGCAATACCCACGTTTCTCCAATAGATGGCGTAGAAAATGATAAAAGCATTTTAGCCTTTATGCACGACGTTTACATGTCATTTATCTTAGTTCTTAGTTATTTTTTGATTAATTTGTAATATCAACACATATTGTCTATTCCTGTTTTCCCAGCTATGGAATGGTGACCAATCACCATCAAGCTACTCCAGTGGTAAACCTGATGTAAGACATGGAAATTCAACGCCACAGCCTGCGCAGAAAAGACAGACTCCTGAAGTAAATCCAACAAGCACTCATTTCGAGGTAATGAACACAAAATCGTACCTTTACCTAAAAGCTTACTCACTGTTACAAAAAGACAACGAGAGTTCATACCAGATGTACTGCACCGACGTAGCCCAGACGGCATGTGCACGACAATCTGCTCACAGCTCACTGTTCTTTCAAGTCAGAATCCACATTAATATCTTTCTTGCTTTGATGCCCTGTTTTTTTTTGAGAGGATGAATTTCCCATGCTCCTCTTTGGGGTTTAACTTTGAGCCCGCATAGTTTTTTGTTTTTTTTTTCTTTTTCTGATCTTAGTGATTATGCATTCCTTCCTACGTTCTATTCCCTCACGCAGCAGCAGTGCTTGTTGTGCGTGCGAGAACGGGTGCCTGCAGTCTGACGAAGTCAGGTTTTATTTGAAGCCTCTCACACTGGCTTATAGGGGATAAACAATATAGTCTAAATATGGAAAAGAAGTTCGGAGCACATTTTTCAACTAATTATCACTTGAAGAAAAGAAGAGCTGACATGCCAGCTGCCCTGGTACTGTTCGGTACTACAAAGCAAATATTATTAGATTTAGTACTCTGTAGGTCTGTACTATTTGGGTTGCGTTCTGTATAGTCTAAAAACGCAAACATGGAGCAGGATATGTGTAGCTGCGGGCTAATTTTTGTCATTTCGACATACTGTACGTGTCAAACTCAAGGCCCGGGGGGCCAAATGCGGCCCGCCTTCCCGTTTTGTGTGGCCCGCGGGAGCTTAAAAAGCATTAAGTTAAGTTCATGCAGCATGAGTTTCTTAACCTGAGAAATTTAAAAAAAAAAATTATTACAATGTTAAAATATTAAAATGTTCCCAGATTATCTTTAAATAAAGAAAGTTAATGGATCCGACTGCTATCTTTAAATAAAGAAAGTTAATGGATTATGACTGGATTTTTCGTTGAATGAAGTAAATTAGTAAAAATACATAAGTTAATGTTTTCACTGTGTCCCATTGCGGCCTGGTTCCTAAATGACCTATGGACCGGTACTGGTCTGCGAACCAGGGGTTGGGGACCTCCGATCTATATCTTCCATTTACAACCGGCCCTTCAAGGGGAACTGTATTGCTAGGACTAGGACTAATACAAATGTAAAAAAGAAAGTGACACAGTACTGTAAAATATCACATCACATCGTGTTTGATTCATTCTTCTCGGTGTCAGGGACACGGTCAAATAAAAAGTTTTCTTTTCCCCACTTACCCACCCTTTGATAGCGTCTGATGTCAAACAGTCTCAAACCTCCTCTGCTTAGCAACACATCTCTGAATGAATGCCAGCCCGTGGCACGTTCAGACACATCTGCTTTTTGACATAATAGCGCATTTACCAGGCACTTCTTAGAACTGAGCAGAGAGTGAAACATTTCCCTCCACTCCAAATATGCAACAGCACATTTGATGACCTAATTCATATCACAGAAAACAAAAAAAAAAAAAATGAAAGAATGCAACCTTCGCAAGAGAGTGGAGGTGGATTTGATTATAGCTGTTGTGCAAATGTAAAAAAAAAAAAAAATAATATAACCATTGGATTTATTTTTGCAAAAATGTCAAACATAGCGGCCCATTAAGGTACAAGTGAAAATGAGAAGAAAAAAAAAAGCAGATGAAGAAGAAAGGGGAAGATCAACGCCAGGCTTAAATATTAGTCGTTAATAATGTTTCCGAAATTCCAGATTGTGAATGATGTGTTTTGTAAAGCCGGCACTGTCTTTTTGGCCGTGCAGGCAGAATGGAGAGAACACACAGCAACAGAGCCAATGAGGAAAACAAATGAGGCAGCACAACACGGAGAAGAAGTGAGTGCAAATTAAATTAAAGAGCCGAGAGATCTAATTTTCTGATTGTCGAACTGGATGTCCAGCTAACCGTCTACTGTACAAAGTAGTAGCCTCTGAATTGTAATACTTCTTTTTGTAGATATATAAAAGGCCTTGGTATTGGTGTGTGTGGGCAGAAGGGACACAGAATCTTCAAACCATCTAGTAAACGTTGTTGTGCGTGTGTGTGTCTTAGTCAGACCAAGAAATAGATAAGAATAAATATTGGACCATGGGAGAACACAAAACTGAAAGAGATGAAATATAATAGTCAGAATTGTAGACTGGAGACCAGCAGTGTCTTCAAACGTCTCTGTTTACGAGTGGATGACAGGTATACTGGGAGCAGTCAAAGTCACACGAGGTTCAAGATTGACGATCGTAGGAACGCGACAGGAGGTGTTGCGTTCATGTCGGAAATGATCTGCGGTGTGTCGGCGGGCGTAAACGTTAGTCACCTGATGCTTGTTCTTGCGGTCCATCTGTCCCAGCTTGCTGTTCATCAGGTCTTGCACAGTGTGAATCTCCGTCTTCATCTCCTCTTTCGTGGCCTCGAGCTGGTTCTCCAGTTTGCTGATCAGAGGTTCGCAGCGGCAGCCGTTCAGAGGAGCCTGCGTCGGGGAAAGATTCATGAAGATGTAAGTGAAAGTGCTTGTTCAGAGTAAATAGGATATGTGAAATGACTTTGAAATGTATTTGTCTTTGAAGAGCTTTTTGGTCTTGTGAACTGTTCCCTGAGAAAAAAAAAGAAAAAAAAAAAAAAAAGGCCATTATTTTCCAATTTCTGAAGAAGTTTGAGGTAAATGGTCTGGTTAAATGGACTAATCAGTCTCACACAGAGTCTGAGCCGTTCTGCTGAAGCTTCGATTCCTCTTTAACTTCTCTTTACTCATACGCACACGTTTGTCCTCTTTCTCTTTCCTCATATGTATGAGTTCTTTAACATTTTCCAGTTCACCAATTACAAAGACGGGAAACAAGTCGGGATGTCCGATCATATCGACCAACCGATATTATTGGCCGGTACTAGCGTAATTATGTAATATCGGTAAGAATAACGCAACGCCTGGGTTTCGCCCAGATGAGGTGACATAAAAAATTGTATTTAGTGAACAAGAATTATTGTCATTGGTGACAGTGTGCTGCATATATATCGGTATCAGTTAATATCGGAAAATATTTGCGTATCGGTAAAATATCCGCATATCGGTAAAATATCTGCGTATCGGTATAAAAGATAATATTAAAATAATCATATATGTCTACGTATCTGTACACAGTCCTTTATATTTAAAAGACAGGGTGGTTGTTATGGCTCAATATTTAGTGCAGTTGGTCCACAAACGACCACCTGCTCAACATTTATCAGTTTGTTTGTTGCTTTGGAGCCAATGTATGCAGTTGTAAGCTGTAAAAAAAAAAAACAAAAAAAAAACAAATTGCATACAGTAACAGGCTGATTTTAACTGGATCACATCCCCTTTCATTTCTGTACCAGTTCCTAAACTATAATAATGATGATGTGGTGTCGGGGTAATGATGCACTTAATGATGCAGGCTACACTTGCCAGCAAAGCATAGATTTGCCAGTAAAGAGCAATTATAGTCAAACAGTCATTTGGCTGTGATTTTGCTTCTAAACTGCCAAAGGGGGGGCTCTCTACAGTAGAAGCTCAGCAGCTACTCCTA